AATAGATGCATAGCTTTGCTATGAATTCTACTGGAGTTAGATGACAATCAAGTCTGTTGTTTACTTTAGAAGATATCAATATTCACACAGCAGATTAATTTTATCTGTTTGAACAAATATTAGCTGTCTCCCACAGATAAAATATGTTCCACAGGCAGCATTTGTCAGACTTACAGATGGTCCTTTCTCCTCACTACAAGCAGACCGACCTGGCCGGTTGAAGCTTCTGAAGAACTCAAGAGGAATGAATGTGGGTTCTTGAAGCTCCAGCTTCTGTCCAGACTCCTGCCAGCTGTCTGCCAAGCTGCTGCTCAACATGAACACTTTGTGGCCTGTAGGGGCACGCTGCACTGACCATCTGGTGAAGATCACAGTGGATCACCACTAATGAAGGAACATGTAAAAGTGACCTGCAATAAACAGCAGCATCTCTGAAAGTCATTGATTGCACCCAATTCTAACATGTTATATAGATGTTTTTTGTTTTTTCCCAAAAATGTGAATAAAGGGGATAAATTTAATTAAATCAGACCTGTCAATCAAGCTGACTGTTTTCGGATTGATTAATTAATTAAAAACTACTAACACATTACCACCACAAATGCTGAACGTGACATCCTACTTGTGTCCTACTTAAAATTTTAAACCTAATAAAAATATATTAAATGTGTAATGAAACCAAATTTATTATTATCAAATAAAAATCTAAATTTATTCAGTTTACAATAATATAAGACCATGAAAAGTTATATTTCATCTTATGTGAAGAGCTGGATCTAGAATGCGCTTGTTTCAAACGTGACTGGTTATGTTTCTGTAAATCAACTGAAGAATAAAGGAACAGAAATATTGAGCTTTATTGTTGCCATCTGCTGGTGGAGTTGAGGTACAAAAATACTATATATAGTATCTTAGTTTGTAAGATTGCATAACCAGCCACTTGAGCTGCATAGTGTACCTTCAATTTTTCACAGACTGGCATCACAAGAATACATCGATCAACTATCCAGCTAAAAAAGGAAATTAATTGCTTTCTATTTATTATTACTTATTATTTATTGAAGGTAAAACCCTTGAAAGAGAAAGGCAAGTAGCTGTCTGGCAGACAACGTCAGATAAATCAAAGATTGGTACGACATGTTTTCAGGTCGTTTGTGAAACTGCATTAGTCTAATGGCGGAGAAGAATACATCTTGTTGTGCCCCGCCTGTCTTTGTAGGAGGCTGTAAGGTGTAGACTGGAGTTTAGGGTTATTACAGCTTCCCCTTTTACTTAAAGCATATTTCAGATGGCAACATTTTTTATTGAACTAGAGCTCCCAAAACAAAGATCAAAGAAAATAATAATTTCAGAATAATTATCAGATGGTGTAAAACTTAAAAATAAAATGTTTCATAAACAATGATATTAGTTACCATCTGACTTTTAAACATTTTTTAAAAATGTAGATACTGAACTACACAGTCTTGTCACAGTTATTCCACATGTTTACCCCTCGAATAGATATACACCCCTTTTCATATTTGTCCTTACTATTGCTTTTCTTTAAATTAATGTTTCCTAAGTTCGCATAAGTTCACATCTTTTCTCCTCTACTCCACAATCTCATTAGCTAAGTTATAGCCAACAATTACAAAAAAAGAACAGGTTAACTATTAAGATCTTTAGTTTTAGCTATATTATTTTTACAGTGTAATTAGGATAGTTTGCTTTTTCACAACTTGTGTCAAGAACTGTCCATGTTTCTTAAGTTACTGCTAAAATATCTTGTAATTATTCCCTTTCACTGAGTCACTAAATATTTATTTATTTTAATGTATTTTACTTAGTTCTACTTTTAAAAACATCCTATTATAGTGCATCGTCCTTTATACATGCACTCTCTATTCCCTTTGTGATCCATGGCTTATCCACATATGATTGATTCCTCGTGAATTTTTTAATGGACATTTTTCATCACAAAGCATTATTAATAGGCTTTGTTTTGTTTTGTTTTTTCTTACATTAGCTCTGTCTAAAGGGCAGTGATGGCTTCTGGTGTTCTGCTTTAGATGATTCAATAGGTTTCATATTCTTTCTTAAAAGGTTTTGGAAAAACATTTGTAGACCAGCTATTATGTTGCTCTCTTTATACCTACAGTGGCAGTTCATTACACTACATTACGTTACAAGTTCAAATGCTTGTATTCTAACTGTATTTTACCTCAAAGTATTTCTCGTTTCTGTCTGTTTAAACCTATATTTCCCTGTTACCAATACGGATTCTGAAGTACAATTTCACTAACTCGTGCACACAAGGCATTTTATAGAATGTATAATCTGTGGTAGATGTTTGACTTGAAACAACAGATTTAATCTCCACATTTCAACTTTTTTCTTAAAATAGGATTTTGAATTTTAGCACAAAATTCCAATTTTATTCACAAATAAACAATATTTTTTTTTCTTAATACTCTTTTGTGCACTGGCAATGAATAACATTCTTTTAAACCTTTTTAGCATGTGAGCCCTCACCAAAAAGATTATCTGGTTAATTCAGATGTCTATGAGTGAGGACATTTCTACCAATATAAATAAATAAATAAATAAATTTAACCTAAAAAAAAATTTGTGACCAAGAAAAAAAGAGAAGAAGATACATTTCGGTCCTTGGACCCACATACCTAAACCGTCTAAAGTAGTAGTTTTAAAGGAAACTACTGCAGACTCATCTCACCCTGCTACATCAGAAAAATATTAATGTGTATCGTGATATCGCAATTTATATTTGTCCAGTAGGGATGTTTTGTGATAAAGTACATACCTTCTGATGACATTACATCTTCCTCTACTGACAACTATCAACACCTAGGAAAAACCAGTAGATGGTGCTATTGTAATCCAAGAAAGTAGGGCAGTTAGGACCTGTTGACTTCATTTTAACCAGCTTGTGTGGCTTGTCAGGTTGCAGAAATAGAACAGATAAACACATATAGCAGTTGTAAAAATAGATGACTAGTGGTTGACCTAAGAGTTTGCTCTTGTTGTGTTGCTCTACCTTTGATCACGTCATTCTGTATTTCCCCCGTGCTGGGCATCATTTAAAGGAAAACAAAAGAAGAACTCGAAGAGCTTCCCTCTTATTTCCTGCTGTCTTCAATGCAAAGGGCCACATACAAACAAAACTTTCCACATTTAGAGCATGGTCATTTTCCCCCTATATTTACTATAAATTTGCTCTTGGGACTAAACCAATTAAGTGGTCCTGCCCAGCAGGAACTGCACATTGGATGTTTACACTAAAACAAAATAACTGTCCTCTCTCTTTCCACCACATGTCCCTCCCTTGCTGAATGATTGTTGTTCCACTGAGTCTGCCAGTGGCTATACAGTGCACAGTGTCATCAGCCAATGGTGGAATCCCTTGGTGGCGTGTCTGGACTGTATCCCCTGTGAGGTTGCAGCACGTTGCCACTGCTACAGCAAACATGCCACAAACCCTTACACATGTGTGGGATTTTGCTGTGCTAGTGAACAAGAACTAAGGCAATAATAATAATGTCTACATCACCTGCTTTCATTGCTGGAATTAAAAGTATTTTTAATCAATATGCAGTTTTGGTCGAGTCTTTTTTTTTTTTGTAACTTTGTCTCTGTACACTCCCATAGTGAATTTTAAATCAAACTATTGGGAAATGATTGAAGCACAGACTTTCAGCTTGAATTCAAAAGATTTAGCAAAAATCAAATTTACTGCTGAAGGATGGCTTCAATTTTTTGTACATTTCCTCCCCATCCCCCATTTTCAGAGACTTAAAAGTAACTGGACAAACTAATATAATTTCAAATATACATAGAATTTTTTTAAAACCTTCATGAAAATTCACTCAATGAATGCCTGAAGTCTAGAACCCATAAGCATCACTCCAGCTGGTTTCTGTTGCTGCTTGTTTGTGTCTCTGCCTTTTGTTTTGTCTTCAGTAACTGAAAACCATGCTCTGGCCCCTTGAAGAACATAACATTTCTCAGGCTTGAAACACTCAAGTTTCTTTTACAGTTTGCTTTGGTCTTTATCCATTTTCAGTGCAAAGTTCCCCCCAATTAGCTTTGCATTGCAGCATTTGGCTGAATCTGAGCAGGGTGTGTAACCCTGTACACATCATCAATAAACACTGATGAACCAGTTTCATCGGCAGCCTTATATGCCCATCCTTGAAGACTGCTTCCACCATGTTTGACAGATAATGTGGTAGATATTTTTCTCGTCCACACTTCTTTTCCTAAAATTCTGGTACAAATGAATCTGGTAGTTTCATCTAGCCAAAGATTTTTTTTCCAGAGCTGTGGAGGCTCTTAGAGGTTTTCTGGCAAAGTTTAAACTCTCTTTCCAGTTCTTCAGAGCAACTAGTTTAAACTGTTTTCAACAGTTTCTATTTACATTCATGAAGCCATCTCTTAATTGACTTTGACAATGACACATCTGCCTCAAGAGTATTTTTCACTTGGTTAGATATTGTGGTCTTTCTTTATAAAATATAAAATTCTGCAATCACTTTGTTGTCTGTGGTTTTTCAGGCCTTTTGAAATTTCTGAACTGGCCTGTGCATTTCTTCTTGTAAAGATTGTACCAGATTCCTACAAATGTTTTGTGATTTATTTTGGTTTTTCAGTTTAATGATGGCCTCTTTCACTGGCATATTTTGTGCTCTAATGAACAGTATATAAATACAAGTTGAAATAATCTTCTATCAGCTTAACTTGTCAAGGAATATTGAAGTAACAGGTGAAACAGTCAACTGTCCATTCACTTAAGTAGAGGATTGTATATAAAAATGACTAATTCTTCAACAGCTAATACAAATTTCTGTATTAAAGCTGAAAGTCTATACTTCTATCACATATGAGTGATTGAAAAACCCACCGTGGAGGCAAAAAACAATTAATAAAATATGTTACGGTCCAAAATCTCACAGAACTACCTACATGTCCATATGAGTTACAAAGACGATCCATATAGTCTATTTTGGCAAAGGAATTTAACTTAATTTTTATTAAAATATCAAATAAACAACTTTCTCACCAAGTTCACAATAAAACATTTAACTGCCTGAAAGTGACATGGTAACCAAATACAAATTAGTTTCCAAAGAATTTTAAATATTTAAGACAACTGCCTAATGTCCAGCTCATCATAACCTAACAATGTAAGAAGTGATAAAGACGTGTGGGTATCGGTTTACTCAGAGGTATGACACCTTTGTGCAGACTGCTGAAACATATCCATTGTTTTTGCTTTGAAGAATGTGCATGTATCCAACATCACATATGCCAGCTGTCTGACAGACTATAATTCATCCAAAAGGACCCCAAAAAATAAAGACAATTAAAAGAAGTCAACAACAACACAAAGACAAAAATCCCCCCACGTCTACTCCATTATCATTTAAGACAACGCAAAAAAATAAAAACATAAATCAACTACTACTGTGCAACTAAATGGACTACATCCAACTGCTTTGTGATAACAGGAGGAGGTGAAGTTGTGCAGGATCTTAATCCAGGCTTCATTTCCTCTTAAGGCAGGTAAGCTTAAAAAGTCCTTTTCATCAGAGAACAGAACATTCTGGTAGGAGAACAGGCTTCACATCACAGAGCCCAAACTGAGAGAAACATCTGTCTTGAGCTTTCTTCAATGTCCATTCATGGTTGTCTTAGGTAGGTGTGCGTGCATTTATTTACAAGTTATACCAAATCCAATGCCAGCATGAAGCCCTGGCATACATTTAAAATATATATGGTGATAACCAAGACATCACCTTGACGTATCTTATGCCATCCTCTTCATGTGTACATCCAAATGCAATCCAACACTAATCAATCCCTTCCGTAGTTGCAGATGCACTTCCCTCTCTCCTCTTTTTCTTACACAATTTACTGATTAGCATGTATGTATGTAATTTATGTCTTGTATGACTGGATATGTATCTGTCGAGCTACATTAGCATCTTTATGGAGAATTTGGGAATACTGAATGTTTGAGCTAATTCATATAAGTCGATGAGGCAGAGGAGGTGGGTGAGCGGAAGCCGAGGAGGAAGGGTAGTGCTGTCTGAGCCTCTAAAAAACAGGCACTCTGGTCAGAGTACAGGCATTAATATCCTCAGTGTGAGTGGCTCTGTGCAGGGACGGTTCTGAGGCACTGCGGTTTATCTTAGGGAGGGCATGCTGGAGAAGCTCAATGGAGGACAAGATCTAAATTTTTTAAAAAAGAGAGAGATTTAAACAGGGTTAAACAAAACGCTAACAATTGAGCTTGATGATCTACAACTGCCATGAGAGTAGCTCACCTGTGGAAAGAGTGGCCTCTCATCCTTGGACTTCTTGGTGCAGTCAGCCACCAACCTTTTCATGGCTTTGGGGCAGTTTTTATAGAGCTTGCTGAGGTCTGGAGATAGATAGCCTCTTCCCACCATGAAGATAATCTAACGGGAAAGTCAGAAATAGCAGACCGAGTAGAACAGCAATCACATTTTAAAGTATTTTAAAGCCAGTACATCTGTAGTGGACAACTGATCAGTGCTTGATCAGTCCATCTTGCAGATAAAGATATGGCATGAGTGCGCGATGCTGCAGAGATAAAGGATGACACGTACTCTATGTGCCTGCCAGATCAGCACAGTTCAAAGTCATGCTACAGTATCAAGGAGAACAGAAAAGAATAGTGGATCACAAGATTTACAGGTGCACTGTGCAAAGGTTTTAATTGAATCTGAATACAAACACAGTGAAGTAAATTCAGTAAGACGCCACATATGACCCAGGGCAGGACTCATGGTCTACGAGAGGACAAAAACACCTAAACATGCACATATGCACACCCATGCTCCCCTTTTCTCACACACATACAGGGTTGTGTTACGGGGTCTAAAATTAGGCCAGTGGCTCCATGGCGCTCGCCTCTGTTCCACAGTGGGCCTTGGGCCAGCTCCACAACCCCCTTCAGACAGTGACACAGTGTCTTTCCACCACCTTCTAGCCTAGGTTTGCAGAGAGCTACAGCTTAGACATGTGTCTGATTGCAGGCATACAGCACTGGAACCCTTAAGTTAACACTATGTCTAACAAAATCAATGTTCTAGCCAAGTGACTTTTATTTGCATGACAAAAGAGACTTAAGTTCTTTAATGTCATCAAAGATGCAGTGATATACTCTTAAACCATTAGTGTAATACATTTAAACATCTTTACCTGATCTCTATTTCCTATCTGGGAGTATGGGAGCTCTCCCGTCATGAGCTCAAAGAGAACAATTCCATAGGAATAGACATCAGACTGGAAGCTGTAAGGATTATTATCCTCCATCCGGATAACCTCAGGAGCCTGTAAACATAGAAAAAGAAACCAAGTCAGGTTTTTTTAAATAGATGAATAGTTGGTTTAATGCTACTATCTAATCACAACTCATCAAGTCCCTTAATATAGCCCACTTGTTGCTACAGCGGAATTAAGTTCTTAGGGATGAACTTTCAAACTTTAACATAGTTAAAATAATCTTATTCCTCAATGACTGACAGTCCCAGCTTGTTCCAATGCTTTATATAATCTATGATAATTTTTTTAAAAAGAAGATGATAATTGCATCATTAGATGATAATTAAAAAATGTAACTTTGGATCAGCACCATATGGTGTTACTAACCATCCAAAGAATGGATCCAGAAGGCTGCTCGACCTGATGTGAGCCACTCCACCTTGCTTTCACCGTAGCAAGACCAAAGTCGCCAATTTTTACTGTTAGCCCTTCATGCAAGAAAATGTCTGCACAACAGTCAAGGAATTACACTGAGGAAAAACACATCCTGTACACCAGGTGGATACGTTTTTGTTTTTTTGGGGGTTTTTTTCCCCATTAACAGACACTGAAAAACCAATAGAAAGGATACTGTTTGATTTCATGTCTCGGTGAATGATGTTCTTTGCATGAAGATAGCTGAAAATGAAGAAAAAAATAATTATATCCCAGTTATTGTTGATTTGATTTTAAGAAAGAAGTGAGATTCTGTACAACTTACTCCATGCCCTGAGCAGTCTGCCTGGCAATATCTATGAGCTGGATCATCTTGAAATTTGTCTCCAGGACATGTATGTGCTTGTAGAGGCTGCTACCCTCACACCACTGTGTCACAATGGCCAGGTTGTCCTTAGTCATATAACCCATGAACAACAGGATGTTGACATGTCGTGTTTTCCTGTGACCAGATGCAGAAAAGAAGAGGAAATCACCATATCAAAGATCAGAAAAACATTTGAAATGTAGATGACTCAATAAGAAGTCAAAAATATAAAATATTAAAAACACCTGAAAATCTTAATGCTGGTAAGAAAAACATTTTTATGCACTCTCACCTGAGGACTGCCACTTCATTTCTGAATGCCTGGAACTGCTCTGGTGTAGGGTCTGTCACCTTTAAAATCTTTACTGCTACATCACCTACAGCAAAAATAATAATGAAATCCACAAAACTCGTATGACCAGCAATTCTGCATTCACTCTGCTTATTGTTTATTTTTTCTGTCAGGAAACTCTGGGAAGTGATACACGTGATGGTGCGTAGCATCTGCAGCTCATTCCTACCATGCCATTTTCCTTTGAATACAGTTCCGAAGGAGCCGGAACCAATGCGGGAGTGCAGATAAACCTCGCTGGCCTCAATCTCCCAGTAGTAACTGGAGTCACGCTTATCCCGAGGCCTCTGAGTAAACAGGAATCAAAAAGATGCAACTGATGTCATACAAAGCAGAAATACACCTTAATCATAAGGTTTCATTCTGAAGGGGAAATCAAGAGTGCACCAAACTGTCTGATATCATTAAATATACAAGACAAAAAAAAAAACAAAGCTTACTATTTTAATTTTGTCCTGAGTGTTGAGGGATGGGGCCCTCTCTCGCTGGGCAGGTGCAGGGGTTTTGGATTGGGATTGGGTCCAGCCTGTAGGACTCTGGTTGGGTGAACTCCCCGCTTCAGGAATACAAAGCAAAAGAGTATATAGGAATTAAGCATAGAAGACTTAGTGAATGATATGGATCCAGGTTATGTGTTATATAGGCATCTCATCAAGTTCACTCTTTTATAGGGATGGGAATCGAAAACCAGTTCTTGTTGAGAACCGGTTCCCACTGTTTCAATTAATTGGAATCGTTTGCCATTTTTGCAAACGATTCCCTTATCGATTCCAGTCGCCTCGAATGACGTCACCACGTTGCGTAGCGTCATTTACCTGACAGGAAACATGGCACCTAAGCGGCACAAACGCTCAAAAGTTTGGTTATACGGATGACAACAGGGTAACTTGCAATACTTGCAAAGTAGATATTTCATTAAAGGGAGGAAACACTACGAATATGCAAAAGCATTTGCTCACAAAACACACGATAACTTTAAATGAATCTCGTGTTTTTAATTCCGCTCCAGACTCGTGAATCTCAACCCAGCAGCGGCGGTAATGTTTGCACGTCCTCTCCCGTTAACATGGCAGGTAAATAATCAACTAACAGTGCATATTATGTTAGCGCGATCGGCCTTATTACAAAACCTGCCTTTACTGTGCATTTAGATGACCACGATGAGAGTGACAGAGTCTGGCTGGCTCAGATGCTGGCAGTTCTCGCTGCAGTCTACCGGTAGCGTCTCCTTTCAGGCCAGGATAGACGAATGTCACCGAGCAGTGACTAAGTTTGTGGTCAAAGCCTTGCACCCATTTGCCACAGCAGATGCCCCGATTTTCAGTAAGTGAATGTGTTTAATTGTAGGCAGGGACATTACTGGATATTCTTGTGTAATTGTTACAGAATAATTTATGTTATACTTTGTTATTGCTACAGAAGAATATTTATTTTATTAATATTTTACATTCACATTTTTTTTCCCCTGTGGACCCGTGACACCCCATCAAAGGCTGTGGATCTCTTAATATCTCACTGTTGGGTTTGTAAGGCCATGCTACTCCTAAATTTCTATCTTGTTCAAAGAGAAGACATAAAACAAAGTTCTAAGTTAATCGACCTGTGTGTTCTCCTTTTTAAAAAAAATAAGAATCGATAGGAGAATCGATATAAAGAATCGAATTGTTAAACAGAATCAAAAATGGAATCGTAATTGTGAAAATCTTATCAATTCCCATCCCTACTCTTTTCACGCATGATGGTAGTTAATGCTCAGTGAGCATATCAACAAAACACTAGAGGGAGCAGGAGATCGCGAGATATTCAGTTAGTCAAAATAATTTGTGAACTTTTTGTTTTGCACAACAAAATAGGAAACTGAAGTGAGGAAGAAGACACAAAAGTACATGACATGAAGCTAATGAAATGCAGACTTACCCGAGTCATGATCACGCATTGCATCCTAAAGAGACAAAGAAAAAAAGAAAACCACAAGCAAAGTTTTGTTAGCTTGTGCAAACACCAGGCCTTGTGCTGTGCTGTCACTCATGGTTTGACAGTACATCTAAGAGATGTGAATGCAGATAGCCTGCTTGCAAGGCATGCCATTGAGACTGCACACAGACACTCTGCTTTCTAACCTTTTCTGGACTCTCAGGTGAGGCCTCAACAAAAGACTGGGAGAAGTGCACAATACCTACTTTCCTCTTCAGCCAGAATCTATGGCACCAGGAGCTGGGGGAGGTATTCAGGCAGTCTAGCTACTCCCCAGAAGGGTACAATACAACAGGCCAGTGAAGAGACAGGAGGCAAAGGGACAGAGCAAAGGAAAGTGAGGAAAGAACAAAGACAAAATGGATTTCCAGGTTTTACCTGGACAGAAACTGGGGAAAAGATCTACAAAGCATTCAAAATGATTGAGCCGATTATGCAAGAACAGCAGCTGCAATAAAGCAGAAGCTAGAACGAACCAGGGGGAAGTCAATTGTCACAGATAATAAAATTTGTTAAAACAGGATGCTATCGGGCTGAAAAACAGACCAAGCCCTTCTGAGTGGCTTAGCTAACACTCAGGTAGATAAGTAGGAAAAAGAAAAGCAACTCAAAGATCATTGGAATGGAGGCCAAGAACACTTGCAAGCACAAGATATTTTAGGAGTGACAGCCTGAACCTACAGGAGCACCCAAGGGGCCCATTTGGTGTGTAGTTACCTCGATCACGCTGCTGTCTACAGGCAGAGTAGTGCTAACCATGTGGACATTTGGTGTAGAAGTGGAGCGCTGCCTCTGGGAGAGACCGCCACCAGTGGGTGGTGCGTAGTTGAAGGCATGAGGGGTGGAATAACGGTAGGCTGAGCTGTGAGGGAGAACAAGATTTTAAATATTAAGAATCAGGTGGTTTTAAATGTCAGTGCTTCAGATGGCACAAACCACTGACATTTAAAATAAACACAAACTGAATTCTGTAACTTCTTTAAAATTTGGGCCAAGCTTGGGTGTGGTTATAGTTAGTCTAGAGCCTTTCTGGTTTCATTTCTGTCATTTTTCTTCCATTCCCTTTCCCAACTCACATTTTTTGCCAACAACAGATGCCCAACAAACAAAGTCATATACAATATACCATACTGTAACCACAACAACAAAACAAAGGGAAATTAAAAAGAAAGAAAGAAAAAAAAACATTACAGGGAAGTAGTTGTTAGCCAATTGCATTGTAGCCATCTTCTCATGCCATTTTTGGCAAACTTGAAATTCAGAGGTATTTTGTCCTTGATATTTGCCAAGATCAGCATTGGCTCAGCTGAAGAGAACAAAGCTCACTAACATCTAAAAAACATAACTCACTTAAGATGTTCACTTACAGGAAAAACAAATCATTTGAACCCAAGTTCAAATATCCACAAATTTATGATCACAATTTTGCATGAATGAAAGCTTCCTTTTTTTAATTTATTCAAGCCTCTTGGTACACCCCACTGTTACCGAACCAGTTGTAATGTATTGTAGCTGCTGGTTAAAATTGGGACAGCAGGACCCCAGCTCAATGACGTATATAAACAGAGATCATATTATATCACACCCACAAACATGGAGAGCACTCTTTGAGCACAATCCCCTTTTTGGCAATATCCCACTATGTTTCAAAAGAGCACTGGGGAGTGCTCTACATGGAACAACTTGATACTTTGTAAGTGCTAATTTGGCAGCTCAGAGCACTTTTTAGCCATTTTAAGAGCTACTGAAACAACAGATTCTTTTCACACCGGGCTCCTTCAGCCCTTGGACTGGTTAAGCCCTCATAAAGCCAAGGACGTCATTCAAAAACAAGATTTAATGTAATTAAGATTACGGTTCTGGTAGAAATAAGAACATCACACCAACTGTGATTTTACAGTATAGCCATCCAACAGCATCACTCTCCCAAACACGCATGCATACAATATTAACATCTTAATAATTATTGAAGTACTTTCTTTCTATATTTCTCATCTAGTTGCAAGTAGCAGCCTGCACTATTAGCTCTCCCTACAAATGCCTGATAGGGAAAAACCCCCAAAACAAACGCTGGACAAAAGCAAACAAAAAACAAAACAAAAAAAAACCCTTCAAACAGCACATATGTATTCATGATCAGAGCCTTTACACCTTATGACCTGTGGTTTCTGCTTTCTTCTGCTAGTTCCATGAAGCTGTTTACATAATTGAAACCCCATTTTGTTTATCTCTCTCTCACACACACATGCACGCACTTTGATACAAATGCATGCTAGTGACATGATACACATGCTGCTAATAGACTGAAACTATCCAAGTGATCTGCAGGTGGTAACATGCAGGTATCAGCCAAAATCAACACAGGGTTTCGACTGCTGTTTTGTTTTTTAATGTTTCGTTCTGTCATTGTCGTGTCATTGTTTTTAAGGGTGTAAAATATATTAAAACATTTCAGAGAAGCCTTTTAAAAATGAAGTTGTTTTAGGCTTTTTCAGAAAAGGGTAGATACATTAACAATTTGAATTTTACTTGAAAATAACGCTAAGAGTGCAAATTATACCGAGACTCACCTTGGAAGCCGCGTTAAAGACTCTCTCATACGCCGGGACGAAGGCGGTGGCACAGACGGGGCATTGCACTCGCCGGGCGTTTGACACAATCTGACAGAAACAAAGTGTTCGTGCAAACACACCAGTGTTTAATCAAGTAAAAGCTGACGGCTACACAGGACAGTGGTTGTAAGGGGAAATAGCTCATCTATTCAGTGTCATTGATAAAGATCTCAAAAAGATTACCCACAGCCTGCATGCAAAATGCAAGTAACTGAGCACAAACATGCAAAACTGTGTATATGAGCTTAGGCCTACATGTAAAAACTGTAGCATCAATAAAACCTTTTTTTGTTTATTATCCTGTCTGCATGTTAAATCCTACCTCATATATATATATATATATATATATATATATATATATATATATATATATATATATAGTTACAATTCCAAAAGCTATTACTTATGATGTAACATACAAAAATACGGACAAGTTGTTTACACGCTTTCATATACTTACAAGAGTTGCCTGATATTGATCCAGTCCACACACATTGTGGGCACTTTGGTGCTACAATGCTCATGGAATTTGTAGCCACATGTTTGGCAACGGAAACCATTCAGAAGGAACTTCTGGCAAATATCGCAGAACGCTAGTTTCAGATATGTTTTGCGAACCTGAAACAGACAGGGATAAATATTCATTTGTTTCTTTAACAGTGACACTCTCTTGAGAGCTGAGGATACTTTTGAGTGCTTTTGGGTACTCACAAAATTATGCGTTGTCAAGGGGACGTGATCTAAAACCTCCACCTGCAGCTCTTCCCCAATTAGTGAAGTGGAATCGGTATTCCAATCCATCCGTGATTTTCTACTGAGGGAGGGAAAACAAAGGGAATGAGATATCTAAAAAAGCAGCTACACTTAGCTCTGATTCTCATTACCCGTGCTTTGAAAATCGACAGCAGTCCTGAGCTCACCTCCCCTGTCCTGAATTCAGCCTGAAGACAGCGCAGCACTGAGGCTGCAGGCCCCGCACCCTCAGTGCTTTAATCAGGCAGTGGTAAAGAGTCATACCTGGTCGCACGTTTACCTGAGATGACAAAAAATACCCCCAAAAGAGAAATCAGTTATTTTTTTGTGATGTTCCATATTGCCATGAGTAGTTTTATACCAGTACAATACTTTTGAACTGTTGCTATTTGCAGTTATGATGGTGAAATTTTCTGAAGCACCAGGTATGTCACCGTTAATAGAAATCAACTCACCACAGTGCGTTGCTGGTTCGGGAGGTAGACACGGATAGTGCTGCTAGCCTTTGAGTCGGGCATCTTGCTGTCATCTGAGGAGCGACGCTGGCAGGGATAGCCCTGGACTATGGTCGGAGAAAGGCAGGGGCCCTCAAACGGAGAGTCCTTCATTCCAAAACCGTTGCTCAGGCTCTTCCACACTCCCTGAGGGTGCGCCATTAGTAAAGCCAAGTGCTTACAATAGTCTGAAATGTAAAAAAATAAACAAGATGAATAAATAAAAGATTAAGAAGACAGTAGAAAAGCCTGCAAATTAAAGAACATGAAAGACAATAGCTGCACCTGACCATTTATCTTTCTGACAGAACTGAGTATTAACCTGCTTGTACTGAAAATCAAACATTCAGCCATGCAGTTTAAGGTTGTTTTTTTTTTTTAGTTTTTTTTTTTTTTTTAATAGAGACAAGCACAGTTGACTTGTATGCATGCCATCTACAACTGAATGAAATGGTGACACAGAATGCAAAGGTACCACAACAAAGACATAACTGGTTAATGCAATGACAACTTTTTTGCTGCAATCACTAAATATAACCTCAAAGAGTGCAGACTTCTTAGATTATAGCAAGATTGGGCCCAATGCTGATATGAAGGGTATCTAAGCAGGATGCCTTAAAGTGTGACAGGAAACGTAAAAGGAATCTTTCGGTTAGCATCAAATTAGTGGTTATTTGAGTTACAGAAAACCACATTTTGGTTTAAATGTATGATTTAGTAGTCTTGCCATCTTGTAAAAGAAATGTAGACTAACTATACTATATTAAAACCAACAAAATCTCTAACAGGGGTCAGTCACAGTTACTCACAGACAAGGTTCACAATTATTTCAACACAGGATGAATTGAAACAAATAAAAAAGGGTAGTTTTCATGTCAACTGGGACTCCTTACAACTCAAGGTGTATGTACCCACCACAAACAAATAGGTTACTGCCCCCCCACTCCCCTTGTGCTGTTTTCAATATAGACTATAGCGCTTTACACAGGTCATCACATTTAGTAGGTATGCCCTAATTTTCTGTGGTGTCACTTAAACAAAGCCCTGTTAGCACTGGTTAGCTGTCATAGCAGATACACAGGTTTGTTTTTGTTTTTTTCAGAAGTACAGAAAAGCAGGAACTTGCAGAACTGTGGCTGGGCCACCTTCCCCACCATGCTGCTGGAACTGTGTCCAAAACAAGTGCTGTCACCAATCCAGGAAAGAGCCTCAAGAGAAAGCATGTTTGCCAAATCTAGAATAATTAAGATTTTACTCCCATCAGCTTTGATCTGTTCTTCATAGCAAGTCAGTCTAAGCAACACAAGCCCACATCAGTGGTGCATCCACATAAGATCCTGTGACAAGTATCCAAAGTCGCAAATGTAGGTGAGAGCAATCTCAGCAGGTTAGCATTATTTGTAGGTGTTAGGTTGAGGGGATCACTTTACTTTTGAGTTTTGAACTTTGTCCAAATAAATAAAAACGTGCTGCTGAAAAAGACAAGAAGGTACGGCTATAACCGAAGTGCGTGAGTGCTTTGTTCTGCTACAGCAACTATTAGAAGTTACGTGTTTTATAAGGCCTGGTTGATCCAGTTATAACTATGGAATTGCCTGAAGGCCGTCAAACGCGGACTATATCGTCAAACTTCACTGCACGGCTCCGTTCGCCCTCCATTCAATTTTCTCTTGCTCAAACGATTCATTTCTTTGGTAATGCGAGTCGTGGTGAAGCGGTTTTAACTAAAGAGTTAGCACTTCAAACATGAGTCAAAGAGTAGCAATGCTAGGGGCCAGTAGCCTGTATATGCTCACCAAGAGAAGTTAAAAAAGTTGTGCTCCGCCATAACTTCAGGAAAAAGTGGCCTCGGTGACATCATCATATTTGCAACGCATTCAAAGAAAAGAGGAATAATTCCAAGTCGGTAAAGATCCAGACACTGTATCAAATAACCCTGTATCCGGTAAATGTTGCATTAATGTAAGAGGGTAAGGTCATAGGCGGGTCTCCTTTTCGAACCACCCAAAATAAGAGAAGAAAACTTTTTTTCTTCCTCTTCTTTTTTTTTAATCTCCAATTCGTGGTAAAAGCGAAAAAATCCGTCTGTCCGTCGGACCCTCAAAGTGACACGACGAGGGATATTCTTCAAATCCAGCGAAGCACTTTCAAATTAAAACCTCCCCCCACAAAAAGTAGGTCCGCAGTGCTTCGCTTTGCAGCTCAATGTTTACGTTGTTCGGGAGAAGAAGGTGAAGCAGTTTAAGTTGGTGTCGTGCGTCCGGCTGACGCCACTGATTGAAACAGGACCTTGCAGTCATATCAAGAGTTGCAAGCATCATTCACACTGCGCAACTATAGCACAAACTAAGCCCTCCCACTTTACTGGTATTGTGGTTTTTTGTGCTCATAAAAGAGTGAGTATGATTACATCTGAATTTACTGGGTTCGCAATAACATTACATATAAGATACTTTGTAGCCATATTGTGCAGCTTACGCCACCCTCATACTATCGTGCTGAGAGCTCATACTTGCAAAAACATGTTTTTTCTTCTCCTCAAATGGTACTGCGCATGAAAATTTAACATGCATTGAAATTATTATTATTATTATTATTTTAAAGTAGTCGCAAAAGTATCTTTTGAAAAGCAAGCGAAAAGGCCCACTACCGGTTTGGTGTGAAGGAGTAATCCTCTCCAAGGGCACCATCATCTGGAGACTTTAGAGCAGTGCAATTTTGTAGACCTGGACATAATTTTATAGCCTTTTCACCTCTTAATTCTAAAATTCTTATACTTATGTGGCAAAAAGGACAATGAAGTCTTGTGGTATGCCATGCAGGCTGCAGCTATTAAAAAATGTAATCAATACAAAAAACAAATCTCACTTATAATGTGCAGCACAGAAATGCGTCATTGTTTTATTTCTGTTAGATTTTTATATGCTTTTCAAACATCCCAGCTGTTTTTTTTTTTAAATCATCGAACACCGCCACTTCATCCTACCCAAACTAATACATTATCACACTCACCATGTGTTCACCATCTCTGTTGCTTCCAGGTCTGGGTCCCCTGAGGTGTCCTAATCACAGATGGTTCATAAGGTCTTTTGAGCAAGCTGTAGTTGACACCATCTGAAAATAAAACACCACGTTCCAATCAGTGGTTGATTAAGCATCCTCGTGTTGTTTTCATATAGCACTAGCAGATTATTTTAGTCAAACAACAAAATCAAAAACCTACCATCCATAATCCAGTTCAACAGGAAACTCTACTTTCAGTTCTCATATGTAACTTTCCAACTAGGTCTTCTTTTCTGAAAATGACAGATATTCAACCAAACAAGTAACAGAAACACCGAATACTGTTTCTGTGAAGATGAGGGCAGGGCTTTGTCATTGTGGATCATTTTAAGGTACCCCACTCCACATACAATAGGAGCACAGTTTATCAGTCAGTGAGATATATTAAAATTCTCTTAATATGTGCAGAAATATGCTTTACAGGTGGTTATATTTTGCCAGATCGCCAGTAAACATTTTGAGCTGCAAAATTAAGACTAGAAAGGAGAGAAATTGCCACCCTGAAGGAAAACAACCAAAGCCACCTTAAGACTGAAATGAATGCATTTCCCACTTATTGATTTGGCACAGCACTCAGACCAGTTAGCTGAGATGCTTGCAGCTCCCACAGATTGTCTCTCTATCAGTTATCCTGTATTCAAAATGTGATGCTCACAGTAGGAGTTTTTAAAGAGCTGGGGTTGTGCAAATGAGAAATCACCAGCTTGAAACACATACCCTTGTACTCTTTATCATAATCAGTGTTACAGGTTTATTGACAATAACATTCATATCCCAGATCCTTACAAGTTTTCAGAAATACATGTTAATGTTCATTTCTTAACTTTGGGCACTCACAAACACGGCAGTTTGCCTATAAACAGTAAATTCAGATATGCTTAATAAGAGGAAAAACATTAGTGTAATGTAACATTTTTAACATATTTATTATTCACCTGGCTATTCTCTTAATTGACCTAATAACGCAAAATAATTTCAGATAAATCCAGTGTTGCTTGATTGCTCTGTCAGAGATTATGACAACGATACTCCAGTCTTTGCCAATTTATGCCAAACACATTTAAACATTTTCAACTGACTGGATTAACAAGATAAATGTCTAAATTGCTTATTGTATTAATTTTGTAAACAAAGCTGCTTCTGAAATCTTTCCCAGCTAATTTAAGTTGTCTTAAATCAAACTGCTCAAGTCTCTATGATAGGGGCATACATGTACAGCCAACATTTTTATTAAATATTGTGAGAGCAAAGGCTGTACTTGTTATGATTTTTTACTTAGATGTGGCCTATGGGGACATGCAGACCAACCAGTTTTTAACTTGCTCAGTCCTATAGGCAAATTAACCTCAGTAAAATGAAGAAAGATGATAAATAAAAACTGTCACGTAGAAACCTTTTCAGTTTCCAGATTAAATGTGAAGAACTGTGAGTATTTTGTATGGGCAAGCCTACTGTATCCATGCTGTGACTCTCACATGTGGTTAATTTTTGAAGAACGTATTATTAATAGTTAATAAAAGCGCTGTGTTGTCCTCTTGTGTGAGGAGTGTAGTGCAGGTAAAGCGAAGACTATAACATTCTCTAGCGTTTGTTTTAATAAGATGCTTTTAAATGTTGAACATGAAGAGGGGGGAAAAAATAAGGTCAGTTGATTAAGGGAAAAGGGACCGTTCTAAAGCCACGATTGGCTGATTCGCAGAGGCGGTGTCCAGAGCCTCTCATGTCTGATTGGCCGCTCGCAGAGTAGTCGACCAATGACTGTGCGAGCTTTTAATGGATACGTTGAATGACAATTCAGGAACTCCTGCTCGCACCGCATGTAGCGCAAAGAAGGAGGCGTAAACACTGACATAGCTAGGTAGCCATCAAGGTAAGCGATAAAACGACATTAAAATACTTTCATCAATTTACGTTGTATATCTTTTAACTTTGAAACTAAGGCATGTTAAGATTGATGTTAACCGTTACTTGAGCGTTTAAACGAATTTTCTTTATTTTTTAAATACGCACTGGTTTAGTTTAGACTCATTAACGGAGCGTCGGGATCTTGGTCAGGCCCGCTAATGCTAGCTCGTCACAACGACTTTGGTGTTTGCTCCCTGCGCGGGAAATTTTATACTTATGGTAAATTTACTCAAATGCCCGCGAAAACAATGTATTGTGAAAATGTATAGCTGTAACGGTGGGTGAGACACTTTTCTATATGGGGAAAGAGGACTGATCGTCGACTGAACCGTGCTTCTTGATCGTGGTCGTGTGGTGGTGTGCTAGCATGTACTAGCCAGCAGCATTGGTGTCTCGCGAGTACGCAGAAAAATCAACGTGACTAGGCCCGTGTTAGCGTAGCTTCAACCTTTGGTATTTGATTTCTGTTTTGGAAACGCAAAATATTTCTGAAACATGTAGTCAGATATGTACATTTAACAGACATACAGTTATTTTTTTTAAACGACTCGGGATATCGTGCTATTGTTTGTACCTCGAGTTTGCTGGTATCTTTGAAGGCGTTAAATCAACAAATCAACGATGCGACATGCTGGCCTCTGAAGCTAGCTTTCTAAGTAAGCATGCTTTCGTGGTTATTTACGTAGCAGTCAGCAGTGGGTGGCATTAAATTGATTGTTTTAACGAGGATTACTTCATCACGGTTTTCTCCATCAAATCGAGGCGCTTTGGGTGTCCCCATGTGGCCCGTAGATAAACGTTATACGAAATTTTAGAAGGCGTTTAGTGACGAAAGTTGAAGTGGGACGGACACTTGGATGGACAGTAAAGCAAAAAGGAAACACGTTTCACTGTATGCAAAGTCAATAAAATCTATCTGAGTCATTTTGTGTCCCCAGGTCTTCTTTTGGGTGGGTAATACGCGAGAATTGATTACTAATTAACTCACATTCTTCCTGATTTGAATATCTTCAGCACTATCAGCAAACAGAAGTTTGACCTAGGGCAATTACAGCATGATCTCGCTGAGGAAGCCTTGTAAGTTAGCTTAGTAGTTCAGTGTAGTCTGGTGGTCAGTTATGATAGACTAGAGCTTGGAAGAAGAAAAAAGCAAAAACTATTGTTTGATTTTAGATTAGACCCCACCCCGTAGTCATTATACTAGAATGACTCCTGTAGTAACTGTGTTTCAGTTGTGTGGTAAAGTTGTTTGACACTGGCATAAGCAATTTCAAACATGAGACAATAAGAGTTAGCCTACTTTGTCCACCCTTGAAAATCATTATTATTTTTGTTATATTCATGTACTTTTTGATGTTAGGTATTTATGGCAGAATTTTTTTTGTTTAGCCTTAAATTGTTTCATCAATTAAATTGCAAGATTTTTTTGATAATATAAATGTGAAATAGTGGTCTGCACATAGAGATGGACTTAGATTAATGTGCAGATTTCACATTTAAACTTCATTCTAAACTTTAACTGTCATCTATAGAATGTAACACAAACTGGTATCCAAATTTAGCACCAGTAAAGGGCATTTCTTTCATCTACAATGTCCATACATGTACCTCTCAGAGGTTAGACTTAAGTTGGACTTGATGGTCACATCAAAACTGGAAGTTTGGAAAGTGCCAAAGATGATAGCCACATTCTCCAAGGGGGGGAAAGGGGGTCTTTGTTGAAATTGACACAAAAGCTAAAGCGAACAACTGAAAAACAACTGAAAGTCAGTGTTCATAAGGATCATTGAGTACATGAAACGATGTGTTAACTAATTTCTGTTTTGTTTTTTCTTGAAGGTAATGGAGATGAGCAGCAACAGTGAGTGCTTTGGATGTGGCCGCTCTGGACATTGGGTCAAGCACTGCCCTAATGCCAGTGGTTCGCGTGGCCGTGGCAGGGGACGAGGACGAGGCAAGGGTACTATACTATTCTTGCCACACCCAATATAAACTGGATTTAGTTATAGAAGGCATGGGTGAAAATGAAAGGAAAAGGTTGATTCTTGTAGTTTTCTGCTTTGCTTATCTATCTGTGTCATTACAGAGCTGTTCTGTTATCGGTGTGGAGACCAAGGACACATGGCCAGGGACTGTGACCAAACTGAGGATGGTGTGAATTCCAATTGTTTTTCTTCAGTTTTACTTGGTACCAATCTTTCCCAGAAATTTTTTTTTTTTTTTTTTTTCTAATCGTTTTTTTCCCCCCTGATCAGCGTGCTACAACTGCCACAGGAGTGGTCACATTTCCCGGGACTGCAAGGAGCCCAAAAAGGAGAGAGAGCAGCTCTGCTACACTTGCGGGAAAGCTGGTCACATGGCCCGTGACTGCGATCACGCCAATGAGCAGAAGTGCTACTCCTGCGGTGGGTTTGGCCACATCCAGAAGCTGTGCGATAAGGTGAAATGTTACAGGTAAATATGGTTCTGTTTGGAGAAGCAAGCCTGGTGCTACAGTTTGACCAAATTTCTACTATTTTGAAGCCCTCCAATTCTAATCTTTAGGTATACTTCTGTGTTAATTTTACAGTCTGCTTTTATCACACTCGCCACATTCTTTCTTTTTCAGGTGTGGTGAGATTGGTCACGTTGCTGTACACTGCAGTAAAGCAAGCGAGACTAACTGCTACAACTGCGGAAAGGCAGGCCACCTGGCAAAAGAGTGCACCATTGAAGCCACCGCATAATCAGTGCCCTCTGTTGCCCCTCCTTTTTTCAGATTGATGGTTGGTTGTATTATTTTCTCTGAATCCTCTTCACTGGCCAAAGGTTGGCTAACAGAGGCTAGTCCCAGGCCAGTGAGCCTCTCGACATGTAATACAAAGAAAGGGGTGAAAAAAATATCTTTCTGCATTCAATACAAAAAATGTTTTAGTTTGGTAGCGGTGTTATGTATAATGCTTTGTTAAAGAACCCCCCTTTCCAAGCCACTGGTGACCAGAGATGATGAATAAACGGGACTAAACATATGGGAATCTATAGGACCTCTGAGCTTGTGGAAGTGTATCTCAGTAAAATGAGATAGAAGAAGGGAGTAAATGGAAACCAAACTTCCATGTATGGTCATTTTGGTTTGTTTTAGTGGGATATGAGTTGGCCAAGAGAGTATGACATGGAAACAGTTCATAACATGATGCATTTCAGCCCTACAGCAGCTAAGTGGGCGATAACAAACTACATGTTATATTACTAAGATATAAAAATTTTGGAGTTGTTAAAAGGAACATGCTCTTTTATAGAAATCTGTTTACAATTTAAGTAACACGGTAGTCCAAGGCAGACTTTTCCTTTTAAAATGGCTTTGGAATTTTTTTTTTTTTTACCTTGGCAAAACTTAACATCAACAGTTGTCAGAACGGCAGAATTAGGAGTTATTTGGGAATGAAAAATGTTTTCACAGAAAATCAAAAATGTTATTTTTGTACAATATCACTTAGACTACTGTATAAATACCATTTGCTTGTACTCAGTTTTTAAGTCGGAAGGAAAGTGCAACTGAAGTCCTAGAAAATAGAAATGTAATTTTAAACTATCAATAAAGCTGGAGGAGCACGGGGAGGATCTTCTTGTCTGATTTCTTTTGCAATACACGCAGCATGTTCCACAGCTCGTTTTGCCACACTTTATCTTTACAGATGCTTCTGTTCTCAACTCGTCTGAACATCTTGCGCAAGATGTGGGACGCTGATAACTTTTGAGCTGCTGCTTGTGTCCTAGAAGTTCACATAAAGGATTATCTGATAGATAACCTACAGATTATTGTGGGATTAAACAACATGCAAAGCTGGATCTTGTATTTTATATTAATCTAGACATTTTGTTAGTCTGCATCTGCAGTATTATATCCAGAAAATTACGTGTTTAACATGAGCAGCCATATTTCTTCCACTAAGAAATGGTTAAACTGGATGGATCGCTTTTGCCTATCAGGCTTCCTGCAGCACATTCCTGGCAATTTTTGGACTCGACGTACTCCTGCATGTGACATCAGCAACTAAACCGAGCTATTTGTGTTTGTGTCATTGCTAAATAAGATTCACCCGCATCCATTTTGAGCTCTCTGCTGTACATATACTTGATCCGGAATGACAAGGAGCGGTGATCAATGAGTTCTCCTATTTTGTCTTTACTCTGCGGCCTCTGTGATCCATGCGTGTCTTGTGCGTACAAGAAATGGAAAGCTCCACCTCGGTATCTAAAATGGCAGCGGGGGTTGCGGTGCAGATGCAGCTCCTTCCGGCAGAGATGCAGCAAAAGACCCTCCTACTCCTCATATGTCGTCATCGGGTCTCAACCAGTCAAATTATAGGCGAGAAAATATATGAGAGAAAACAAGCCCAACCAACCAGCCAGCCAGCCAGCGCGGCCGGTGCGAGCCGGCTCACGCTTCTTAAGGGGTTTAGATTTACACATTATTGTCTATTTTGTTTTTTCTTCATTAACCCGGTGGGTAAGTAAAGGAGATGAGGGGACTCCTGCCGTTTTACCGGGGTTTGTACACCCTGAGTAACCGCCAAGCCAGTCGTAAAGCTGGGATTGTCGGTTCTCGGTGCGGGCTTTGCGGAACTCAGTCTAATAGCAAGGTACGGTTCGAGCTGTTGCTGTTGCTGTTGCTTCGGGCTCTGGCAAACAACATGTCGTTGACACTGATAACAAGGCGGTACTTTGTTTGTTGTTCTCTCGCATTGTTTTTTTTGTTACAATGTATCGTATCGACGTTGTGTGCGGGGTTGCTCGCAACTTTCTCAGCTGTGGATGCGCTCAGGGATGAAACAACAGAGGCGCTGACATCAGGGGCAGCAGCAGATGTAGCTCGCTGTATTTTTGCCCCCCCCCTCCCACCATGAGAAAAACAACCACTGATACACTGTGTTCTTTCTTTGTTTTAATTAGTCCCAGCTCCAGGGGGGGAAAGAATTTTGAGGTTTGGGATACTGTAAGATTGATTGTAATATGCTAACAGGCCTGTGTACTGCTGTGTCACCATAGCAGTTCTCACTATAGATTCCTGTCTCCCATGTTGACGTCAAATAGAAACCAGTTGTTATCATTCTTACACGATGATAATGATGATTGCCTACAAAGAATTTAAGTTATGTAAAATAATAAATGATCAGTGTCATTGGAAATGTCATACTGTGCAGAGTAATAGATTATCCTTTTTAAGACATCATTCAAACCCATTGGTTATTCAGTGAACCGTTATTCTACTTAATTTGCCTGCTATTAATCACTCATGTTGTTTCCCCGCTTAAAAAAAGTTCTTATTTGTTTGGCTGATCAGTGTGTGTCTGTCCTTCCCTTCTGCAGCCACAGCCAAGGTTTGGGCTGTTGTTCGATATTGATGGCGTGCTTGTCAGAGGGAGGATGCCAATCCCTGCGGCAACAAAAGCATTTGAGAAGTTGGTCGACTCTCAGGGACAGTTTGTGGTGCCAGTCGTTTTTGTCACAAATGCAGGGAATTGCCTCAGACAAACAAAAGCGGACCAGCTCTCTCACATACTGGGAGTGCCTGTGAGTTTTAAATTCCTGTGCAAGTTTTAATGGTGTTAAGGGTGTATCCCCTGCTCTTTGGTGTATGCATGCAGTGCATTCAAAACTGTTTCAGTTTCCCCTTATTTAAGAAATAATAATTTGCTAGGAAAATAAGAAATTTTATTGAAAGATGCACAATGTACAAACTCTGTACAAACACACATGTTTGTACAGAGTTTGTACAATTCTAACAAGCTTTAAAGTCAAATTTGCTATCGCCACCTTTGTTTGTTTGTTTGTTTGTTTTTTCAACATAGGCTGAAGACTGAAAATTGTCCATTTGCTAACCTGTAGATATAAAACACTAGTTCATCTCTTGAGTTCGGCCCTTTTTTTTTTTAATGCTTGAATGAATGACAACAACAATTATTATTTTGGAAATGTTCAGGTAAAAGGACTGGACTGAAAATGAGTAAAAACGAAGTCAGTGTTCAAGAAAATCTGGCTCTTTGGAAGCAAAATGTAAAGAAATGGGTGGTGGCTTGAGACTTGTGCACAGTACTGAAACTGAAGTTGTTACGTTTTATCTCTGATTATTTTTGGATAATTTGGTCTCACCTGACTCCTTTGCTATTAACCTCACTACAACTGTGCTATTTTCAGATCACACAAGACCAAGTTATCATGTCCCATAGTCCCCTGAGGATGTTTAAGAAGTTCCATGACAAGTGTGTCTTGGTGTCAGGACAAGGACCTGTCCTGGAAATTGCTAAAAAGTATCCTAGAAATCTGCTTTGTTTAAATTTACAATATAATTTATATATTTACATTTAAACTTGAGTATTACTTCTTCATTTCTCCTTAACGTTCTGTCTTTAGTGTGGGCTTTAAGAATGTAATCAGTATTGATATGCTTAGAGAATCGTACCCATTGCTGGACATGGTGGATCACAACAGGAGACCAAAATTGCCGGTGAGATTTTACAATCTGGTGCACAAACATGATGTTGGAGATATGTATAATATAATGTCATAACTTTAATTTCCCTTCTTTAAATGTAGTCCAATCCTGTTGTCAGCCTTCCGAAAATTGAAGGTAAAAACAGTTGGCTCTTCTCAAATTAAACGTTTATCTTTTGTCATTGACATGGTACACTTACTAACATCTGCTTTGATAGTTTTGAAATTCTTGCAATTTTGATGAACGCTGTTCTAATCTTTGAATTCCACAAACAGCTGTGGTTTTGTTCGGCGAGCCGATCCGATGGGAAACCAACCTGCAGCTGATAGTTGACGTTCTGTTGACCAATGGTAACCTCGGTAGTAGTCACCAAACCCAAAACACTCCTCAACTTCACCTGCTGGCCTGCAACATGGACCTCATGTGGATGGCTGAGGCACATTCTCCTCGGTAAACGTTACAAAAATCTGTCTTTTTATATAAAATGTTTTTAAAAAAATTGTACTTAAGAAACCAAAACAGTCTTTCAAGTAATCAAATCAGTGTACTGACATATCTGTCTTTCACCGTCTCATTTTGTTCCAGGTTTGGCCATGGAACATTTCTTGTGTGCCTAGAGAACATCTACAAGAAGATAACCGGCAAAGATCTGAAGTATGAGGCTCTTATGGGAAAACCCAGTGAGCTGACTTACCATTTTGCAGAGTACCTCATCAGAAGCCAGGCCATGCAGAGGCAGTGGGAACTTCCCGTTACTTCCCTATATGCTATAGGGTGAGACACCAGCTTTTAACTCTGTTTTGCCTTTATACTTAACATAAGACCAGAACTCACTTATCATGATGTCTGATAGACAGATAGGCTATCAAAAGAAGATTTTACTGAAACGTTGCTCAATAATTTGATGAGAAAACTGTTCGCTTTTAAATGCTTACCTGTGTTAGTTAGCATGTCATTCTGTCGTGCTTTAATTTGGGGACTTGCATGTTTCACTTCAGCTTTTTTTTTAGCTGATTGTTTGTTCTAATTCATGTGACTTGCACTCAGCACCAGGAAAAAACCACACACATTTCAACATGTACTGATATATAGGTCAACTTCATGCATGCTGCCTGGGGCACAGAGTAATACCCTTTTCTTCTGCATTTTTAGGGATAACCTCATGACTGACATCTATGGAGCCAATCTGTACAACCGCTACCTGGAGGAGAGAGTTGCGAGAAAAAACCCCAAAGCTGTTGCTAAGATGGTGTCTGCCACTGGGTCCACCACGGCAGTGCCCAGGGAGGAAGAGATTGACAGCCTGTGGGAAAGCGAGCTCGCTCTGCCCTCTGCTACTTCCTGTAAGTCTGTCCTAGTCTGTACAGGGGTGTATAACCCCAACGCAGAGGTGCCGTCTGATGCAAATCACTGCATCAAGGAGACTGTGTTCCACGGGCACCGGGACTTCATATTTGACCCTGGTCTCGTGGAGCCAGGCCATATCGTGCAGGATGTGGCAGAAGCTGTTGATCTCATCTTTGAGCAAGAAAAGTTTGTGCCTCAGTAGTATTTTGAGCCAACAGGCTTTGTGTGGTCATGGAGATCCAAGCAGGGGGAAAGGGAGGGAAAGCGAGCATTAAACTGGTAGTACCACTTCATGTTCAGACCTCTAGAAGCCTAACACTGTGGACTTTGTTTAAAAACCTGACAGGGCATTGACATAATATAGGTCATCTAAAATTTTAACAATAAAGGAGATTTCAGAGGGGAAAAAAGATTAAATAACTGTTGTTTTTTCTGATAGTCATTACCTGTTTCTTTTTTTTTCCAATAAGGAAATGTGTAAGAACTGCCTTATTTGACCTTATTAAGTATCTTTGTTAGATAAAACTACTGTTCTAGATTGTTACAAACCCTGAAGCCATCCTATATTTATTTACAAGCTAATGACAGTGTATTTAAGAAGCATATTAACATTTAATCTTTATTCTTACGGTGACCTTTTGTTATTGCATTTTTAGCTATTTGTTTACCCATTTGTCATGGTAAATCTATGCATGAATATAAGAGTAATTCTTGTATCTTTAAAACAACTGTTCGATGTGCAATTTTTTTCCCTCTAATAGCACTGTCTTGACAGTTTCAGTTTCGACAGCCTTGACCAGTTTTTGCACAGATCAGCCTTTCATCTTTGTGTTACCATATCACCCTTTCATAACATGGTTGTTATAATTTAGAAGGTCATTCTTAGTATAACTGACAGACCACTTGTAAGACAAATTTATACGTGTATACTGTATGTAAATACTGCTCAGAAAACTAGGAGAACAGTTTTTAACTTTGCTTTTTGGTGTAATTTTGAATCTAGCACACGAGGGGGTTGATTTCGGTTTTCAATGAGTCATTTAATTTTACTCTCAAGATGTTACGCAGTGTCTGTTAGTATATGTGTGTATGTTTCAACTTGAATATTTAAAGAGCCGATATGTGTTTTTCTAGCGTTTGCTTAATTTTTTGAGCAGACCGATAAATGTGTTAGGGTCAGAGTAAGGTTAGGGTAACTGTAATGAACAACTTTCGCACAACAAGTCAGAAAATGTTCTGGTGCATTTAAAAATGTCAAATGTTTAAAGGGTTCTCTGATTAAAAGAAAACAAAGAAACAAAATGTGTCTCCCCAAGGAATTCTTGTTTGCTGAATCATGAAAGATTTTGCCCTTGTTTTGTTGGAGAAGCTAAAAGCTGAAATGCATTGGTTTGGACTTGGACCTACATGCGGTGGTCAAAGGAGCAAAGGGTTCAAATGATTTGTAAATTGCACAACTGGGTGATAATGACTAAAGAAGCTGAAATACTGAAAGGTATAGTATATTCCACTAAAACATGACTGCAAAGAAAGTTCAGATGACTTAAAAAAAACAACCAAAACTGACTTTTGATGCATCATCTACAAAATAACCAAAATGTTCAGAGTTTAATCCTTCAGGACTTAAAGGACAATTAAGGGTCTGTTATAGTTTAAGGTGCGAAAACATGAATAAAGGAGTGAAAAGTCAAGGACAAGACACTTACCAGCAGAGGATTTTTATTTTTTAAAGGAAAAATGATTTAGGCAAGCAAGCCAATGGCTACTATTATGTGCATTTTATTTCAAAAAGCCAGGATATTTTAGGGTTCCCTTTAATCTTTAAGAGTAACTCTAGTGGGCTAAGATCACTCAGGTAGCCTTTATCTTTATATTGTGCTTCTTGTGCAACGCATCCAAAACTTGTGGCAGTAACTCCATGTTGAGAAGCGGCCTTTCTAGATCCTCCGTATGACCGAGAGACTCTGAGTCGACACTGACCTCTGATAGTCCAGTGTGCAGTCTCTTCCTGTGTTTGGGCTTCAGTGAATGTAAGGAGTCGGCCTCGAATCCTGAGTGTCTCTCATCTATATCCAGAGTGAAATTGGAATTTCTGGCCAGACTCAAGCTCCACAGAAGCAGAACAATGAGGCAGCATAGTGCTACTCCTATTATGATGTTGTATATCCCATTAGTGCAGTTTGCAACAGCGCAGTGAGAAAAGTAGTCGTCACTAAGTTCGGTGATGGCTTTGTTAGACACAGAGCTTGGACTGAAGCAAACGGGCTCCTTCAAAACAATAGCCCTGTTCTTCAGCAACCAGTTCCTCAGGTAGTGAATTTGACAATCGCAGTGGAAAGGGTTCTTGGACAGGGAAACCTTGTTCAGCCCAGTATATCTGTCAAACAGGCCTGGAGACACCGAGGTGAGCCGGTTGTTCTGCAAATGGAGCTCTGTGGTGTCGGAGGGCAGATTAGGCACCTCCACGAGGTTTAAAGCGCTGCAGTTAACTACCAGTCCAGCAGGCCCGAGGGTTGAACAGTGGCAAGGCTTAATGATACTGTGTGTTACCAGGACGTGGAAGAACACGAAGCTCAAACTGAAGATCATCCTATAGGATCAGAAAAAGATTGAAGTACAATAAAACTGCTTAATGTGAAAATGTCTCATGTAAAATGGTTTAGAAGATGCTATAGAGACCGAAATCTTAATGTGTATGAGTGAAATGTGTAAGGTGAATTCAATTGTTCATGGATAGCCTGAAGTTTTAGAAAAAAATATTAAGTCATTAAATATAGATATTAAATATAGATATATACCCATATATACCCATCCCATTAAATATAGATATATACAATTTACAAACCTTCCAGAGTGCCAGTCATCTTTAAATGTCATCATACTGCCACCGTCCTAGTCCAGTGCAAAATCTGAGCCCGAGAATATTTCAGAAATGCTCCCCATGTCAAGGTATCCCTGTTTTGTAACTGATGTGCTGCTAAGCTCACAATAATCACGCGCGTAATACAGAACGGCATCAGTTTGAGGATTCCACCAATGACAAACGGTTATAGTGCCTACGACATGAAGGAAATCCATCTGCTTAAAAGAGATAAGAGTTTATCTACTAAAATAGTGGCGGGGCCATCTGAAACTCTCCCACAGAGTGTTTATTACTAGCGTCCACGGCGATGCTGAGGGCACGAGGGGCATTTTGCGGCAAATTACAGCTCTGAGCATGAAAAGCTTTGTGAGGATTAGAATGCACATAAGAAATTTTCTGGAAACCTAACACTGTTTGAGCTCGAGGGCAAGGAGAAAACGCTTCTTAATGGAAATGTTGAGCTACAAAGCAGAATGGACAGTGAGAGTGTCACATTCAGATTTACAAAACTGGTTTAAAGCTGAAAGGTAAGTGTAGGCACAACCATTTTCACAGGCTGATCTTTGTGAGAACTGTGTATACTTTTCACCCATAGGTGGTGTCATGGCACAGATTTTCAGATCTCATGTCATTTTTATTCATGTCCTCTAGTGGAAACACCGAAACACTAGTGGAAAGTGGGAGATATGAGAGGCTAAGGATAAGACCCTAATGTGAAATGCCCGGCCCGAAAAAAGGGGGAAGACAGATTGATTTGTATTAACCATGGAGTCACAACAAACGACACACGTATACCATAAGTCATATATTTGTTTATTTTGCGTTCAACATTGTCACAGTTGAAGTTTTACAATAACTGGGGTCTTACTGACTCACTATTCACTGTACAAACAGAATGCACATATAAATGAGGCCATTCCTCTCTCCTCCTTTTTTTATAATGTGTCTCACGCCAGACTGAACAGCTTGCAGCAGGATGTGTGTCATCTGTCTGTGTGTACGCTGGGCTGTACGTATGAAAAGAGAGCTGGATGTAAATGGCAGGAAACTTCCTAACAGTCTGTTTTTGATTTCTACAGCAAATGTCAGTTCACCACTGCTGGAGGCAGAGACAGTCGATATGTTCATATATCACCCCTCACATCCATCCATGAGGTGATGTATATACATCCTGATCTTAACTTGAGAATAGAGTACTGATCCTATACACATTATGTACATCTCCTTTAAGCCCCAGTCTTGGTCCCTTAACAGCGTCATAAAGATAAACCCTCTAAGCCAAGCAGCTCATCTGTTTGCACATCAAAATCCCGTATTTACACGATGAAAGCCCTCAGCTAAGGAAGTGCAATGTTCTTCATGTTTATAATTTACACAATGGCTTTGTTGATGAAATGCATGCTGAGCTTTAGTAACTACCAGGCTAACATGGAACAACAAGAACACATCAACATCTGAAAATTCCAACCTAATCAAAACCAAAGGAGAAGTCAAAATTCATAGGCCAACTTTTTTTTGAATCCCCCCCATTAGCTCACAGTGAATAGGACACATGATGCATCAGATCCATGCAGTGCATTGCCGGGGTACTTTCTCGCAAAGAATGACTGTAGACATTTGAAGAACTACAACACACACCAAAAAAATAAACAGATTAAACAGTTTCAAATCATCCCAAGATATCAGAGTTATAGCAAAGATATGATATCAGTGGAGCGACACATTCAGCTGATCATTAATGTCCAGTATGTGATATGTCCGTCTTAAGTCACATGAGTACAAACGTGTGAGTGTAAGCCTGACTTATGGCGATGGTTTTTCTTCGTGAATGTTAAAATACATTTACAACCTGAATATCGGGACAAACAGTTTACTGTCACTAATTTACACACTAGAATAGACTTTTATTTGTAGAATGTAGAAAGTTATTCTTTACATATACCCAGTTTGTTTCTTCAGTTTGCATTTTTGTATATTGTAACTGCATTTCCTGAAAACAATGAAAGTGTTCTTTCAAATGTGCTTATCCAGCAAAATATTTCTGTTCAGCCCAAGGAGAAGTATATTCCCTTTTATTAAAATATATACACATATTCTTCTTTCCACTGTGAACTGTGTAAGTATTATATATATATATATTTTTTTATATATTTTTCCTTATTTTGAATGAAAAAAAAAAAAAAGATTTTTCTTTTTTCACCTGAATCTTGTCCTGACGACAAGATAAGAGACCTCCACTTTCAGTACAAGTCTGCATTTTCTGAACATGATTGCACTTAACTTGCTATGGTAACACTGACTTGTTATACAATGTGCAGAGGATAGCCTCACATCAACAACATTACATGCAAAATTATCACCTACTTGACATTCCACTGAACTCCAAGTCTGTACCTCTAATGAGACCGTGAGGACAGCCAGACATTAATTTACTGAGAAAAGACTCTTGACAGGGGTCAAAAAAATCAAAATAAATAAATAATGACGCGACACAAAAAATGCACAGATAGGAGGGACACCTTGCTTGTTCTTAATGTACAAAATCAGTACAAAGATATTGCACATATAATAGAAAAAAAGATGAAAAAATACTTCACTATGTAAGAACTGATTTTATTCACTCACCGAATCCTGGTGAATAAAAAAATATTCTAAACAAGGCAAAAAGAAGAGCTAAGAAATGTTTCTGATTTTGAGAGTCAAGGAGGCAGATGTTGCACATGTTAAAGGCAACAGACTTAACATGTCCAGCACTTTGCTTTTGTAACAGAAACAGAGCCACGTAGCATTGGAAATGCCTTTTTCGCTGTTATTCTTCACTACGTTACGTCTTATGCAGCCACAATATTGGAAGGAAGCAGAGCTAACGAGCGACCTACTTTATCGGCTCCTAAAGTTGACAAGTGGAGTCTGCTTTGAAGCTTCAGCTGTGACTCCACAGCATTTTGAGGCCCATATGCAACAGCTGCCATCCAGAGACTCTTTCTAATCCATTTGGAAAGGCAAAAATTCCAGAATAGATTAACAGCCGGACTAAATGGGAGTTCACTCCTTTCAGATCTACATCCTGTTACCATAGAGTCAGTATAATACTGATAAAGTTCATTTTTGCTGATAATAATTGCAAGTATAATCTTACAAATTACTTTACACACAATATACTGTACATGAAGTCTTGACTAAATAGATTATGCAGTAATAATTGGCACATTTATTTATGAGAGCTAGGAGACAACACATATAGCTGTCATCTACAGTAAATACAGCACTAGAACTACTATGACTGACTCAGTCAAGTTCTTCACCTGTCCTTTGATTTAATTTAGTGTGAAATGATTACATCTAGGTTTTTCACTACATATGAGCTCTACAGGAGGCAACAACAAATAGCATTCAGATGATGTTGGGATCCGCAAAACCAAAGATTTGAAAAACTGAC